GTGTTTATCTAAAAAGGATTTGGTTATATATTCTGTATTAAAACGGCACTGAAAAAGGGCCAATTGTCAATTGCTAAGGTGCACTTGTCCTTGACGAGGTTTATTTTTTATTGAAAAAGCAGCTGCTTATGATGTCATAAAGGCTGGATTTTTATTTAACCTGGGGAATGGTTGTATAAAGTGTTGAAAAGTCGTACGTTTCGATGTTATTGATTTTGGTAAAATTTTGTGATTTCAAATATTTCACGTGACAATGTTGGATTTTTTTCCTTCAATTTCTATTAAATTGTTTTCGTATTTTTGAAAGGGTGAATAAAATATATTATTACAAACACATATCTGTTGTAAAACCGTCACGGTAGTTCAGTATGTAGAGCGCTCGCTCCGTGATCGGAAGGTCGTGAGTTCGAATCTCAGCTGTAATTGACCTAAGTCGATTAAAAATAGATAGCAAAATAGATCGCCAAGCGCTCGGCACTTTGAAGTGAAAACTCCGGGTTCTCGAATGAGACCTTGAAAGCGAGGCCCCGTGTCACGGCAGGCCTTGACAAGATTATCAATAGCCCTGAGTGCCGAGTAAAGGTCTAAATTTGAAGCCCTTCACCGGTATTTTGTGACGTCACTCTATGAGTGAAAAATTCTTGAATAAAGCAAAATACACTCATTCAACATACCTGTTGTTTAGCATTGGAAAATTATTTTTATATTCAATTAACAGCATGTTTTAAGTTTATAAAACGAGGTCCAACAATAGCACTAAATATGTGAAAGTCCAAGGAGATTGACAAAGGGTGGAAATAAAGCAAAAATACATGATAATTCTGCGTTTGTTTTCTTGTATAAGTTGTCAATACCGCACTTAACAGTAGATGAGTAGAATTGGTGATCAACTACAAACAAAGTAGAAAAACGATGTACAGAAAACGTTGAATATAAGATTTAGGGTATTAGCTTTCGTGGACATAAAATTCGGACTTGATCTGTAAGTGATCAATATACAGAGAGGAACCCAAAAAAGCTCACTGTTTACAAGCACGGCAAAAAAATCTTAATTTTAAGGACAAATTGCTAAATTTGCGTTTCCCTAAAATTCCATTTATACGGTAATATATTCTGTATTAAAACTACACTGAAAATGGGCCAATCCATTGTCTGTTGCTTAGGCGCACTTGTCCTTGAGGAATTTATTTTTATTGAGAAGCAGCTGCTTATGATATCAAAAAGTCTGGATTTTCATTTAACCGGGGGATAGTTGTATAAAGTTTTGAAAAGTCGTACGTTTCGATGGTATTGACTTTGGTTAAATTTTGTGATTTCGAATATTTCACCTGACAATATTGAATTTTTTTTTTCAATTTCCGTTCAGTTTTTTTCAATAATTTTGATAGAGTGAATAAAATATTTTAGTACAAACACATTTCTGTTGTAATACCGTCACGGTAGCTCAGTAGGTAGAGCGTTCGCTCCGTGATTGGAAGGTCGTGAGTTCGAATCTCGGCTGAGATTGGCCTATGTCGATTAAAAATAGCTAGCAAAATAGATCGCCAAGCGCTCGGCACGTTGAAGTGAAAGTTGCGAGTCCTCAAATGAAACTTTGAAAACCGAGGCCCCGTGTTACGGCAGGCCTTGGCACGATAAAGATCCCTCACCTCACTGCACAATGGCCCTGAGTGCCGAGTAAGGTTCTAAATTTGAAGCCCTTCACCGGTATATGGTAACGTCACCATATGAGTGAAAAATTCTCGAATGGAACGTAAAACAACATACCATCAATCAACATACCTGTTGTTTATCATTGTAAAATTATTTCTATATTCCATTAATGGCATGTTTTAAAGTTTATAAAGCAGGGACTAACAATAGTGCTAAATATGTGAAAGTCAAAGGAGAATGAAAAAAGGTGGAAATAAAACATGATACATGATATTGCTGTGTTTGTTTTCTTGTATAAGTTGTCAATACTACACAAAACTGTAGATGCGTAGAATTGGCCCTGAGGGCCGAGTAAAGGTCTCCTTTTCTGGTGGTAATAGTTAAAAACTGGTGGATATTTCTAATTTTAAATCACATTATTTACAAACACAGTAGAAAAAAGATGTTCGGAAAATGTTGAGAAAATGTTGGGAAAATGTATAAGAATAAGGGTATTACCTTTCGAGGATATAAAATTCGGGCTTAATCGGTTTTGATCTGTAAGTGATCAATATTCAGAGAGAAACCCAAAAAAGCTCACTGTTTACAAGCACGGCAAAAACAAAATATTAAACACAATAAAAAATTAGCAATTTTCTTAGTCTAATAGGAATATCTTTTATTAAAATGGCTCAATCGAAATGAAATTTGAACATAAAATGTAAGTTATCAATGTACTAGTAAATACAAATACATAAAATCAACTCATTTTCTACAGCAAGAATCAGTCGGGAAAACAGTCAATAATTAGAAATTGTCTATATCTAGGCGAAGTAACTTTTTCTATATATTGGACAATAGACATGAAAGTCAAACTTGATCTGTAAGTCTTCAATATAAACACTCATGCTAAAAATCAGCTCATTACCTTTAATCAGAGCAAAAAAAACCTGTAAACTATGACGGAATGACAAAATGACATACGGAAATGAGTAACATAATTTACCCCAACCATTTCAAGCGATAGCATAAAAATATGTAGCTTAAGATTCTAGCATACTAATTTAGCAAGGTTTCTTGACACCTAAAACATCTTAAAAGTTAATTCGACAGAAATAAGCCAATAAGCGTCGCTGCTCACCGCTGCGTCAATGTGATCATTGTTTATTATTTTACTAGGAGATTTTCAGTGCAAATTGTCATTACCCTCCATCAAAACTCATAACTACCTCCTCAACTTTCAATTGTTTTCACCTGCCTGATTTTCCTGTAAATTTATGTTATGTTTGTTAGGGGTCAGATTGCATAATTTTTTTATGACAATCCACCTTTTTTGTGGACAGGTAGGTTGTGTTTTGTAGTAAAATGAGAAGTTGATTTCCCTGTAATTTTATGTTAGGTTTGTTGGGGGTCAGATTGCATAATACATAATTGCATAATACTTTTTGAAGATATTCTTTGTTTGTCAAAGTTTTCTAGTTCTTTCTGACCCCCATTATTTATACAAGTTTTATATTCGTCATTCCTCATTTTTTGATTAAATGACATTTTTCAATTCAACACAGTGTTACTGGTTCTGCCTGTGGTAAATCAAAACAATGATGTATTTTAAAAAAAAAAAAATCAATATAATCTACATTCATATATAATTGCTTTGGATCTACTAACACTGCAATATGTTTTCCACTTCGAAATGAAACTGCGAGATCATATCTGAATAAAAACAACTACCATATGGATTATCATAGCAAACCACAAGCCAACATCGATAGGAACTAGAGAATATTGCGTAAATACATTTAATTGTAATATATAGAAAATGACAATAAATAAATGCGTAGGGAATAAACACTTCAAGGCATATCGTTTTCTTTGCGTCAAGGATTATTTATTCACTGTTTTACCTAAATTATAAATTGTTGTTTTCTGTGGATTAAATCCCCGTAACCTTGTTTTACACTTGGATATTGTTTACCAACAAGTGAAAAATCATTCTGCACTCCAACTATTATTAATATTTAAGATGTCAGTATAATTTTTGCTATATTATTTATTCACTTTTCTCACATTTTTCTTGAATTGTCTTTCCCATTCTACACTCCAACTATTATTAATATTTTAGACGTCAGTATTACTTTATTCTATTTTATTTATTCACTTTTCTCACATTTTTCTTGAACTGTCGTTCCCACTTTTTCCTGGTATTCAATCCATTGCTCATCATTTATTTCAAGAAAAGGTTCTATTTCGAATGCTTGTTTAGTACCCTCTTCCCATAATTCTTTGACTATGAATGTTCTCGTCTTGTGTTTTATCCAGCCTTCCAGATCTTTCCGTGATGAAAACCGAAGTAAATCAGAGAAATAAAACTTTCCAAATGTTATGAGTGTTATTCTTTGAATAATTTCGTGTTGTAGCACATAGACCGAGGGTTCGTCTTTCACGATGAATTCCCATGGTATAATTGACTTTAGATGTACACTGCCAGTATTTAGACCACATGATCTGAATATTTCCCAAAGCTTGTCGTTCGATTTGTCCATATCTATTTTCATTTCATTTAAACTCATATATACTAGTACGAGAAATTTCTCTTTTTCATTTGAAGTTTGACACATTTTTTCCAGACGTAAACTTAACTTCCGCAGTGGTCTATTAAAGAATACAACACCGCTATCTGCTTTTTGAAATTCACTACATTTAGAAAACAGTGTGCAGATTTCCGGGAATCCCAAATTATAAATGTTAACTCTGGAAACAATGCTTTCTACTTTAGAGAATGGTTTATCTGGATTGTAAAACTGGAAAATGGTGTGAAAGATTTGAATCCTATCTCCTTTTGATAAATTCTTCCAATTAAGATCAATACAGCGATATACATTTTCATCAACGTCACAATTCTTGACTTCATCTGCAATTGTTTCCCAAGCTTCCTCAGTTGAAGTGATAATCATAAATGTTTGATTTGCTTTCAGTATATGTTTGCATAATGAAATGATTTTTTCTACACGGATATTTCTTTCTACGTCAGAAATGTCCTCTATTGGTAATGGTTCCTCTACGATGACAGATTCCTGACAAGTACTCACATCAAACTTCAATATGTCTTCTATTACAATGGGTTTCCTTCCACTAAGGGACATATAAACTTTTGTAGCAGTTGTCGATTTCCCTGAACCCCATTGTCCTATCAAACATAGAATTTTTCCACCATCTTTGAGAAAACTATTGGCCTCGTGGAAGGTAGAAGTTTTGTAGAATGGAATATCTAGACAAATATGTTATTGATAAAATGTTATTGAAATATTTGGAAATTGTATGATTTGGCTTCATTGAATTGCATATGTACTTTAAAATCAATAATTTACCTCTAGATAATAAAGGAATCTGTTCATGGTTTCCATTTGTGGTTTTCTCTACAATGAAAATCCTTTTAATAATTTAAATCAAACATACTGAGATGAAATATATTTATGTTTTGCTCTTCGTTTTCTATTTATCTGTTGAAGCAAAAGCTTTCTTGTATGAAAAACATAATCATGTGATTGTAAAAAAAAGAAATATATACTTATGAGGAAAACATTGTTTAAAGTCAGAAAAAAATTAGGTTCCACGATTAACAAAAATTAAAAAAAAAGAAAAAAAATTAAAATTGAAAACTTATGAATATAACGTTACAAAACTGTTATATAAGTTTGTATGCATTCATATATTGAGAAATTAAATAATTATTCTGAAGTTTGCTTTCCTCTCTCAACTTCAACTGTCCTTTAAGAAATTATATAATCAATCTTGTGCTCACGTGTTCGTCTCTTTCTGTAACACAGAAGAGCTACCACTATGAGGGCAAGGAGGAAAACTGTTCCCAACGCAACGCCTATAATATGCCACGGTAGAGAAGAGGAATCGCCTTCATGCACAGAACTAAAGAAAAAAAAGAAAAATTGAGACCTTAATGATGTAAAATCATGCTTATATATATATATATATATATATATATATATATATATATATATATATATATATATATATATATGACTGCCGTCATGAGAAAAGGGCCCTTATCTTTTGACGTCACAATGCACACAAAGTCGCGGTAGTGTAAACACGGAAGTAGTTTCTGTCGACTACGTTTTGTGAACAAGAAATAAAAATGGATTTCCAGGTGTTACAAGAAAAACATTAAATCATATGAAATATGATGCGGAAAGTTTTAATAAATAATATAATTACACACTATTACATGCAGATTTTAATTATTCTGTTTAAGCATTTAACTTGATATCACATAATTAAGCTAAACGCAACATTGAACGCATTGTTAATTTCGACGATTTATGGCGATGTGTATATATGATGCGTGGCTAAAGATACGGTATATATGTTTTCTGAGCAATTTGCAAAAGTTTAAATTTGACTCATATTCAGTAGACTAAGTCTTAATATTAAATGGTATTCTACATACACGTATATTTTTTCAGAGAGAGAGAGAGAGAGAGATCAATGCACATATACATGAAAAAAAAATACCTTCGTGTAAAATGTACGAGGGCTGTTCGGAAATTATTGAGACGTTTACTTTTACTCCATAAAGGATAGAGATAAATTCATGAAAATTCGTCAACATTTTATAAAGAACAAATAAAATAAATGTGCAAAATTTCTAATTTATAGGATAATTAGACAAGTTCCGGTGAAATTATAAACATGCATATGTCTATCGACCTGGATCAGCATCGCTACGTCATTTTAACGTCGAGTCAGCCGGAGATGTTTTCGCATTTGTGAAACAATCGGGAAGCGTTTATATTTCTTTCTCTGTTATCACATATAAATTTCTAAAAATCAAATGTCTCTTTTCTTAAACGATTCTTTAAAAAAAAATAATAAAATGTGTACTCTTGCTACTCCAGTGTAAAATAAATAACATGACGTGTCATATACGGGTTGACTAGTGCATCGTGCAGTACCGATTTCTGCAACGTGGATCAACGTTATTTAGTCCGTAACAATTGATGGTCATCCGGAGCTTTTGTTTTTACTCTGGTTGAATTATTTGTAAGAAAAAAATATAAACCAATGAAAAAATCAAACCTTTAGACATGTTTTTTTTCTCATTGTTATTGTTTTAGCAGGTCGTTTAGTCTGGAAAAGAGTTAACGCTACACAAAATTTTATGCATGCTCGCTGCGCCGCCTTAACGTCAAAATCCATTTTGTTGTCGTTCTCAGATTTCTATGTCGCGCTTAAATTGATTTATGATCTCCGTATATCTGATCGAAATTCTAATGAACTTGCACAAAATGAAGTCAAAATAAAATTGGAAAATTATATACATAAATTGAATTATTTTCGCTCTTACTGTAGGTCCACCGGGAGTTTGAACGTTGGTGTTACATATTTTCAATAACTCATTTCGTGACTGCGCCGGGTACCCCTACCATTGATACATTAATATACCATTGAAAAGAAGAAATAAAATATTTGTAAAATATTTTCTGGTTTTATAAATTCTTAGTGTTTGTTAAACGTATATGCAAATATTCACTTAAAGACGTTCATTACAAAGAAGAGTATATACAATGTCTCAATAATTTCCAAACAGCCCTCGTATTTAGTCATTTTAATTTTGATTCCTAGTTAATCATATCAGATCAGACCACCTCAGGGAGAAGCGTCGATATATATCCAAATGTGTGTTTGAGGGAGAAGGGGGGGGGGGGTCAGAGATCATTGAAAAACAAAGAAAAAAAACTCCGAATGAAAAAGCATGAATCGGTAAAAGTTCAATCTAGAAAAGAGAACCTATCTCTTTTTTTCCTACTAAAACAACGAATGAGAGAGGGGGTGAAACGACCCTTATATATATATATATATAATTCTTTGCTAAATTAACAGCAAGAGAATACGTTAAAGGGAAAAACGGAAGAGGAGGATGCCACGGAAATTTTGCAAAAAATAAATTGTGATTAAAAAAAAAACATTTTGAAATGATCATATAAATACATTTTAAAAAAAGTAGTGTCTGATAAAAAATACTATCGTATGAATTTTCTTAAATTGTTCCGATAAAAGCTGACTTGAAATTAATTGCAAAATGTTTAAGAAATAAATGCAGCTAATGTGGATTTTTCCCGAAGTATAATGATCAATGTTGAAGAAAATAACAATTACATCGACGGTGATATTAGGATTAATAATATTTATGAAACTTAAGGAACAACAGATTAAACAATAGATTAGGCTGTCAAGAAATTACAAACTTCTGATAAATGTTGATGAGGCGACATCTTCTGAGAATAAATCACTGATAGAGGAATAAGTACTACTTAACAAGTGGTTATGGGTGTCTTATTAAAATGTTAAGAAAATGTTCAAAAATATCAACCACAAGTCGTAAGACAACAAAAACAATCAAGAAATCTTCATTTTGAGAAAGGTGAAAAGAAATTAACACTAGTGATGTTTCGAGCGGAAAAAAACCCCGGAGATTCAGGCAAAACTTTGATAACCACAAAATATGTTCACAAAAGCATTTTTTTTTTGGCTGACTGCTGAATTCATGTACATTTGTATGTAATAAATTAGTCACATTTCGTGTGGAAATCTAGGAGTCTCAGCTCTGATATCTCGATACCCAGGATATCTCAACAATTTTTTGAAAGTTCCGTTGATGTGGGGATACTGAAGGAAGAGGATTAAACAAGCACATACATCTTTCTGATTTTAAAGGAAAAAATTATTTGCTATTTCAGTGGTGTGGTTACAGGCAAAAATAAGAGCCATGTTCTTTAATTTCGAGATTTTTACAAATTGTTATTTTTTTTAAACAATAACTAGTGAGAAATGGTTTGTATAATTTATCTTTAGATTTCAAGACAAAATCAGATACTAAATCGCCTATGAAGGTCAAGTTAGAGTGGTAGAGTTACAAACATTCAATGGGATATTGCTAAACCGAATCGCCTCATATACAAAAAAGTATGAACATGTGTGTTGGACGTAATATTTAATTCTTGTTTAAGAATATAATTTTATGTACATTTCATCCGCACCGAAATATATGAAAGCTTAGGTGTCAGGTTAGCTGATACCACAGAGGAAGATGAACAGAGGACCTAAATTATGTTAAATACATATATTCAAGCATGACCGTAGCTACAGTTTCAAAAGTTTTTTTTTTTGGGGGGGGGGGGCTTCCTCCAAAAATCTGACAAGCAAAAAAAATACCTATACTGACTCAAGAGTGTGGTGGTTGGGGGGGACTTCTTAAAATAATCTGACAAGCAGAAAAAAGGAAAACCTTATCTATTGCTATACTCAGATAAAGTGGGGGCAGGCCCCCTCTGCCCCCCCCCCCCTTCATTCTACGGGCCTGTTAAGTCTCGCAAGATATTCGGTTTCAATTTTCAATAGATTTCATAAAAAATGTAATGCAACCGTATTTCATCTCGCTCAGAAAAGTCTGTATAGTATGAATATATATATATGAGCAGTACAAGCATCTCTTTGATCAAATTATACAATATATACGTAAATGATAATGTAAATGATAATAATTAACGGCCCTTTTAAGAAATGATGAACGATAATTTATGTGTTCAATTGATAAAGCAGTAGCGTCGAGGGCACAGCTGCCTCAAAATAAAACAAAAGTATAGAAACATTTATAACCGCTTTTGATTAAGTGTGATTTACTTAAAAAAGTAAGAAGTTGACAAAAAATTTAAACTTTAATGTACTGAATAAACGTTCCTAAAACAATCCTTGACATCATTATGTGCCTCTGTGAAAATATTTTTTTTTATATCGGGATCGATGTGCTCTTTTGTGAGGGGATGCCCAGCTTTAATTGCACGAGGTGCCCCTCTGGGAAATATATATAGATTTTTTTTTTATATTTTAATATTACAAGTGCTTTACATCTTTTATTACATCTTTTATAAAATGAGCAAGAGTATCAATTATAAAATGAATACACTGTGAGGAATTCAACAAGAATAAATTTTTCGACCATATAAAAAACCGTTCCTCGATCCTGTCTAGACCCCACCCCTCCCTTTACAAGACTACTAAATCTGCTCTAATATAGTATGAAAATAGTATGCGACTTCCCTCATGAATAATCACATACTACTTGCTTGGAAGAAAAAAAATTCTCAAGTTTATATGTGTCAAAACTATTAAGTTTATTTAAAAAATGTAGTTTTTAAAGAATGTTTGACGCATGCGACGTCATTATACGTTTTCAGTAAATAACGTCAAAGTTGTTTTGAAACGGCCTCACTAAAAGGCTCATAAAATACTGAAAACGTGAGATATTTGAAAAATTGATATATATTTGCATTCAGAAAGAGTCAGGCTATCAAAATTTACCAAAAGGTCAATTTGTGAAATTTTGACCCTAAGGGCCCTTTTCTGATGACGGCAGTCATATATATATATATACTACATTTTTTAAATAAACTTAATAGTTTTGACACATATAATGTACATTTATATATATATATATATATATATATATATATATATATATATATATATATATATATATATATATATATATATATACCGATTTTTATTTTTCCATAGTAAACTCAGTAATCATAATTCATATGACACCCAAAACGAATTCGCGCGATAATCAACGAAGAGGAAGAACTAGGTTAACAGTGAATAGGTAGGCTTTCTAATAATATACAAAATTGCGCTCGCCACAATGGTCGCACCGTCAACATATAAAGAACCTAAGGACACAAAATTTCTTTCTATTTTGTGTGGAATATATGAAGATAATGAACAGTATTAAAGGTCAAAAGTAGTAGTAGTAGTATTAGTAGTAGTAGTAAATTTTATTTCTAGTCGGATAATATACATTTAACAAAAAACCTGAGCTTGAAAGGCCTTTCACCAACTGGTA